CCCCCCCCCCGCCCCCCCCTCCCCATGCCGAAACCCCCGCCTCGACCGGGGGGACCGCCGCCTCCGCGCCCGCCTCCCCTCCCGGGGCCCATGCTGTCCATCCCCGGGGGGCCCGTGGCTCCGGCAGGACCCCTACCCTCAGAGGCAAACACACACACACACACACGAGAAAAATGAGCGGGGGGCACGCAGAAATTATTAATCCAAAATTTCGAGAGCATCGAGCAAAATGAAATATTTAAGGGGGGTAAAAGGGGGCGGGAGGTGGGTACATGGGCCGTGAGAATGTACCTCGTCGATTTGTAGAGGAAGGGTTCGGGCATTTCCCTTAAAAAAGATCATTGGGGACCAGGCAGTCTACGGTGTCCCCGGACCATAGCCAAGAGCACAATACTCATTTCCACGTCGGCAAGAACGGGCCAGCCTTCAGAGTCATCACCGCACCATCGACGCCGGCAGCAGAAGCAACAATAACAGCGACGAGGATCACCTAGAACAACAGCCACAAGCGATCTCACAGCAGCATCATCATCAACGACAGCGACGACAACGACAAGATGACAACAACGCCAACAGCAGGCAAACTGATTGCAGCATCGTCATCAACAGCAGCATCAACAACAACTACTAAACAACTGAACAAGATACGGGCGACACAGCGAGAAACGACCGGAGCAAGGCGCGGGTTGACTAACGCATGTACCTTCCACCTCGACCGCCGGGTCCTCCACCCGCGGGGCCCCCTCCACGCCCTCCGAAAGTCATAGTCCGGTTCGGCCCCGTCCCGGCCCCGTCCGCGGTCCACCTACGGTTAGCGAACCCGTGTCTGCGTTTGCCAAAAAACAACAAAAACACGCAGAGAGAGAGAGAGAGAGAGAGAGAGAGAGAGAGAGCACATGAGGGGAGATGAAGACTTACGGTGGAAAAGGATGATCAACCGTTTTACCACTGCAGTTGACAAGCAACAACGGTTGGACCACTGTTGGCAAGCAACTACTTGTTGAAAGTAGGAGGATAAGTTCGTTCTCAGGAAAAGTGAATCACACAAAAAAGGGGCGGGGGGATCGACGGTAGGGAATGCGCGCAAGATGAAGAGATACATGCCCCCTCCTGCCCCGCTGTTTCATTAAAAAAAACTGTAGCTAATTTACATAACACCGACCGAGACTTTCTTCTCGGCGTATTCTAAAGCGTGCAGATACCGTGGGCATGTAGGAAGAAATCTAATATAGAGCAATCGAAGGACGTTCCGAAACTCGAACTTGTTTTCGAAGCAAGCCTCGTCGAGAACCGAACAACATAACCCAGAGCAACGTGTGCATCACACTGCTATGTGTGTGGTGCATGTTAAGCAAGGTGCGGGGGGGAGCTTTCGGGCGACTGGTTTTTCAAGACAATACGCCAACTATTTTTATTCGCTGCTTCACGCTTGAGGGAAACTCCAACGCGGGGGCCACCAAAGAAGCCAACGTGGAAGCCTACCAGGCGATATAATTCGGGTCAACTTTTTATTTTTTTCGTATGTAAGTTAAGTCTGTGACCACGGGAATTGACCGCGTCAAGCGTTGGACTATGTACAGTAGTAGTACGGACAGAGGAAGGTACTGTGGGTAGAGAGAACGGAACGGTTTTTACTGTGAAGACAACAACAACAACAACTTCCTCAAAAGGGATGCCGTGTTCGTGTCCCAAGACCTACCAACAAGAGGAGCCGCAGGGGATCAAACTGGCCTGCGAGAAGGGGGCCTGGCCTTCCTCGAAGGCGCCCAAAAAAACTCGTCAAGGAGTTACAGTAGTTCTACGAAAAGAAGAAGACACCACGGCAGGAGAACGATAGGGAAACCGATGAACAGAGGGGGGAACCGAGCTGCCCGGAGATCTAGAAAAAAAAGCTGTCCAGCAAGCAAATCGTGTTTTTGCTTATTTGCTTGCTGGACAGCAACCCTCTCTGGATCTCCGGGCAGCTCGGTCCCCCCCTCGGTTTCATCGACCTCCACATCGTTCTCCAGCTTGTGGTGCTTCCTTCTTCATTTTCGTTGAACAAACTCCCTGACGATTATTTTTTGGGCGGCGGTGTCGAGGAAGAGGTCAGGCCCCCTTCTCGCAGGCCAGTCCGATCCTCCCCCGGCTCCTCCTCTTGTTGGTAGGTCTTGAACACGATCTCCAGGTCCTCAAGGGAGACAAAGCGCACAGCTCACTGAAGTGAGTGAGGCGTGAAGGTTCTGACGGGAGGTCTGCCAAGGCGTTATCGACCCCCGCTCTTCTACTGCTGCTGTACTCGCGGCTGCGGTACGGAACGTGCTTCCAAGGCCAAAAACATTAAACATTGAAGGCATCTAGTAGGCACCGCAGTTGTAGTCTTACGGTAGTCTTACGTATGTCGCGCATACGCACATGCTGCTGCGGTATGCAGCAGACTTCCTCATGCTTACCTCTACGGAGATCCGCTTCGGTCGACAAGATTTTTTTTTCCGGTCTTCCCTCCGGCCTGATCTCCATGATCAACAGCTATTAATAGGCGGTCAACATCTCATAAAAGTCGAGATGTTCTTCAACGGCGACAGCAAAGGCTGCCCCACACAGGATCCGTCAACTTCCTCCCACAGTATTATAGTCTGATCCTCAACTGGCAGACAGGGCCCAAGACCACAACAGAAGAGAAAAAAACAGCTTGGTACATGTATCCGCACACACGCCGTAACGACTGAACCAAAAAAAAAAAAAAAAACGCACCTCATCGACCCCGCTTGCTGGTTGAGCGCATCGATGGCCGCTTCCTCGTCCGCCACCGTCTTCGGCCCCGCCGCCGCCGCAAAAAAAAAAAAAAATCACAGCAGTAGTCCGTCCCACCGGACACACAACGACGCACGACGAAAGGTTTGGTATAAATTTACAGTTGACGTCACAAAGAAGGGACGCAGGGTATAGCTGATATCAACGCCGGATCCACCAAACGAGGATGATCGGTTGCTTTCCTCGTCCGTCGCCGGCTTCGGCCCTAAAACAACATAAATCCCACCCCATCACACAGCAGGACACAGGCAGATTGTGCTGTTGTTGTGTTCACATATAGGTACAAAAAACCGTTCCGGTCTCTGGTGCTCAGTACCTTCTGAAGTACCATCCGTACTGGTCTCATAATCCAACTGACGCTGACGGGCGTTTTCCATGGTCACAGGCTTGCGATCATAAAAAACGAAGGCTTCTGTTTACTGTGCGTCAAACGCAGACGCAACAATAATGAGTGAACATCTTCCAAAAACGTACATGAAGCCAGGTATAAAAAACCAAGCCAGAGAACATACCCACACGGCTGTCAACAACACCACCACATACATTGCTGGGTCCTCCAGCACCAGCGGCTCCGGGGCCACTCCCGGAAGCGGCTCCTGACCCGCCATCTCCCGCGGAAGCAGAGCTACGGTACGTTCCATGGGCACAAACGGTAAACGGAAGGGGCGGGGGAGGGGGGGTGAGGAAGGTACATAGGCGTCCAGGGGCTGTGGTACCCTTTGGAGTGGTACGAACAACGCTCGAACGGCAAAAAGAAGGGTCACTGATTCATGATTGATTCGGCGCCGCCGTAAGTCTTTCTACACTCGGCGGACGTGCGTTTCAAGAGTGGACAAGAAGAAACCACGTACTTGTACACCACGAGACTAACGAAAGGTTACGTGGGCGAAACGCCGCGCGCGCGCCCGTGTTGAGGACCTTCCCACCCCCCTGCTGCGTAAAACCCGAAGGCAAGCGACATCAGCAATTCTTCTCCGAGAAAAACCCAGTCCCCTGTACCACTTCCGCAACACTAGTTTGATTTGTTGGTCGAGTTTTTGTCGAAAGATTTTTTCGGCCTGTTGCTGAAGTACACAGCGCCGCCGACCGATTTCGTGTTCCTGTTGTGATCTTTTTTGCCCCTCATTTTCTGTTCTTCTATCGCAGAGGCGAGAACTGCTACGTGTTGTAGCTGTGCTTCTTTCTCATCAGACCCTTAGTGTTCAGCACAAAGAGGGCGAGAGATAGATTGAGAGTGAGAGAGGGAAAGAGAGAGAGGGAGGGAGAGACAGAGGGAGAGGAAGAGACAGAGGTAGAGAGAGAGGGGGGTCCAGATCCAGCGCAGAGACAGTATCGAGCTGCCGGGTGGACTGGGATAATCCGTCTGCCGGGTGGACTGGGAGAACCCGTCCTTGGCGGCAACAGGTGAGCGTGGGCCTGCCTAAACCTCAATAGCAACAATACGCCTCCTCGTTCCTCGAGAGCGCTAACGGGCACGCCGGGGGGTCGAGGATATTTGGGGAGGGGAGCTTTGTCGGTGCTTCCAGACGAGACGAGACGAGAGGGTCATCGCAAACACTGCCGTGTGGGTCGAGCCGGGGGAACGGAACGGAAACCGTTATCTGGAGAATCTCTTCCTATTCCTTGTCTCCTTTGCGTGTTCCGTGTGCGCGCACAGACAGCAGGACAAGATTATTCATGTTGTCGGATCTAAATACCCCTAGAGGTCCAATGATCGGGCCTCAAACGTTTCCCGACGTTGCACATCAAGGGTACGCACACAGCCCCCCCCCCCCCCCCCCCGGGGGTTCCCCCGGCCCCCCCCGGGGGAAAAAGGGGGTTTTTCCTCGCCGCGAAATTTTCGAGGGCCCCAAAAAAAAAAAAAAACCCCCCCTTCTTAAATATTTAGG